ATAAGGCTAATTGGTTCAATAGTGCCTTGTACTATCGATCAAAAGGAGATTGATACTCTAATTTTAATTTTGTCAATTTGAGTACTACAACCATTTTTTGATTTGTAATCAAATCAATTGATTTCATTGATGAAAATGTGAACACACATGAAAAACATGTGATGATAAAATGACAAAAAAAAATCATATCTAAATTAAAAATGTCTAAAAAACCAAATCTCTTTCGATGTCTCATCAACTACTTTAAGGCCATGAGAAACACACTTAGAGTTTGCGTAAACATCTATCATTGTATTACAAAAATACATATCAAATCCAAACACCAACTTCGTTGCAACATAATGAATCATTTTTTTCTAAACATTACATCACTATTGAGTGACAAAACAAATCCGTTTATTAATGGAAAAAGTAAAGCTATCAACTTTAACATCCAATTATCTCATTTTCTTATCTAACAACGAGCTTCACTATAAAAGTCAGAATTAATATAGGGTTTTATGATCAAATTCCACGTTATAGTATTTGATTCTTCTTATAAAATGTTGAATACCGACATTGCACTAGATCATTAAAATGTGAGTATAGAGATATGAACTTTGGAGCAAAGAAAATGGGTTGATTAAACCCAATCGAGATAATGATAAAAGAATAAAGCTTTTTAAAAGTTTTGAGGTCTTTGCATGTGTTCAAAAGTAAAGGAGAGGAAGAGAAAAACATTTGGTGGGTTTTTTAGGTGATGGGAGTAAAGTAAGAATGAGAGTTTAGAGGTGAGAGAAGACCAAGAATGTAAGGGAAGGTGAAAAAAATTAAGGTTTTTTTTAGGCAATGTTGCAATGTAGGTGATGTCGAATGTGGTGGTGAAGGTGGTAGATGAGGAGGGAGGGAGAGGGGTGATGGTGGAAGAAAAGAGTGTGAGGGGGAAGAAACATAAAAAAAGGAAGGAAATTAGATATACAAAGAGAGAAGGTGATTGAATGATTTAAGGTTTTCTTAAAATTTCATATCTTATATTTTAATTTATAGGCGGGGGTAATTTACGAGTCAACTTATTTACGGATTTTGTTCTCCATTATACCAAGGTTAATTCCCATATTTCTCATCATTGTCAACATTGTGACAAATGTCTTCATCATGATTATAATCATAAATTTAGTTTTCACACCTAGATTTGGATGTGCTTTTAACAATCATGAAAGTGAAAGAATATCTATAATCCATCATTATAATCATGCTTTTAAGGGGTTTTACGCCATGGTTACAAAGATTAAAGCCTTCGTATTAGTTGGTAATTCCTCATTTCTCATCTTTTAGGAGATAGTGCAATGTAGGTGAAACATAATCAATGGCGGATGTAAGACCAAATGTCCACGGGGCCAAAGAAATGTTCATAAATTTATCATAATTTATATAAATTTATATATATTATAAATAACATGTCAATATATATTGTAAAATAATCTCAAAATACAATCACTAAAAAATAGAGATATTCATTCTTTCAAGTAACGAAAATCATTTATAAGCGAATTTATATTAAAATTTTTAGCAATTTCTTTTTCAATATATACCAATAAACAATAAAAAAAAGTCATCTTTAATCTTGTTACGAAGCTTGATCTTGACTATACTCATAGCTGCAAATGATCGCTTCGTGGTAGCCGTAGAAATTGAAAGAGCACGAATAACTATTATCATTCTATACACGAGTGAATAACTTTCAAATTTTCTTATCTTCATCAACCATTGACACAAATCAAATATAGTTAACAATATTTCAAAATTAAAAAGATTTTGTATATAATCAAAATGCTCAAATTGCATTTTTAATTGCAGCATTTCATGATCAATAAAGTCTTTAGGGTAAAATTTTTGTACCAACTTACAAATGTCATCAATCCTAAATGATATGTGCATCTCCTTAGGATTTAAAGCTGAACTAAAAATGAATAGTTCTATCGTGTGATCATGGAATCTATTATTCAGTTCTTTTAATTGAGAATCTATCACAACGAGTGAATATGTCAACTTTTTAATGATGCTCAACTATAATTGCACTCGAACATATTCATCAAGCCGAAACATGATTTTAGATGAGAACTCCAACGAGTATCCTCAACCCTTTTGTAATATCTCGAACCCGTTATTAAATGAATTAAAAATATATTAAGGATGTATGAAAACTATTTTGTGGGCATAAGATAGTTTTCATGAGGATGCTAGAATATTTAGTGTGCTTAGAATAATTTTCTCGTACCGAGTAAATATTTTATTTGTTTTTCGATGCATGAATAGTAATTTTTTATGCAAAATAAATATTTTGAGTATTTTTAAAGTGCATGAAAAATGTTCTATTTGCATGGAATATTTGCTAGAGGGGTGCTAGATTATTCTATGTCATTTGATGAATTTTCTAATGTTCGAGTGAATATTTTCGGTGAGTGAATAGTACTTTTTCGTGCAAATTAATTATTTTGAGTATTTTAAATGTGTTTGAAAATTATCCAATGGGCATAGAAAAATCACTTAGGAGGTGTAGGAATATTCTATGAACTTAGGTGATTTTTTTTATGCAAAGAGAATATTTTCTCGTGAAAATAAGTGTATTTTTACACTCATTTAAACCCTCAAATTAATTATTTTGTGTAAAAATATACTCATTTATCCATAGGTTAATTAAAATTCTCATTCAAGCATTTTGAAAAAAAAAAAAACCAATTAAAGCATGAATTAAGATGGTGTCATATTAAAAGTAGAATTGTAATAAAATAAAAAAAGATGATAAAAGATATGGCATGGAGTGTTACATGGGCAAAAAAAAATGGAGGGGGGCCGGGGCCTTATAGCATTGTACATGGGTCCGTCCTCGCGAATGATGTGGTAATGAAGATGGAAGAGGAGGAAAGGGAGAGAAGTGGTGGTGGAAGGGAAGACGCAAGAGGAGAAGAAACATAGAAAGAGAAGGAAATTAGATCTACAAGGAGTTAAGGTAATTAAACGATTTAAGATTTTCTTAAAATTTTATCTTTTGTTTTAATTTAAGAATGAAGGTAATTTGCAATTTCACTACATCAAGTTAGTTGGTAAAAGGAAAAAGGCACGTGTGTCTTTCATTTATCGAGCTAGGTTAGCTTCACATGCAAAAAATATGTCCGGATCTTGGTCAACGGGATCGATCGGCTTGATTGAAAAACAAAAAAATAATTATGGTACTCAAATTGAAAAAAAATCAAAATTAGAGGGTCTATGTCCGACCAATGGTACATGGTACTATCGATCCAATTAGTCCGGAAATAATACAAAATATACAAAAATGAAGATAAGTAGAAATGGAAACATCTAACTAACTCTTTTTTAAATGATCATTTTCATGCTTAACATAACTTATAATGCATCATTAAAATCTTTTAACTTATATATACCTTCATTCAAAGTACCGGTACCATATATAAGAAAATCACATGAAGGAAAAGAGCAAATAGTAATGTATTGGTGTTGCATGTCTTGCTAAAGTAATCCTTTTTAGGTAGGATATTATACATATTTATTTGTGTGTTGGCCTAACACAAAACTCGGGAGCTAGTGTCTCCCTTGACTAGCTAGGGTTTTTACAAATACCTATGTGCACATTGGTTGATATTACCCTATTAACGATACGTATTCGATAACGAGATGACTCGACAAAAATTTCATACTCAAATTCAATTATTCAAACCTTATATTTCATATACATATAAATCACATCGTAATCCACACTTTATTCATTAGCATAACTCACCGCATGTAAATTTATATATACTAATTAAAGAAACTATTTTGCACAACATAGACATAATTTAACTTAAATGAAAATAGACATAAACATTTAGACTTAAGGTGTTTGTCTTTAGAACTCGAGCTCTATATAGGTTTAGGATTAATTTTCAAATCTATTTATATTCATAATAAGTAAAATATAATATAATTTTATCATAGTATAATCAAAATATATCTTTAAAATCAAAATACACATCAAATTTTATTTTTCACATTATATATTTTTATGAGAAAATAGTGATGCGTGATGCACATACTTATAAGTAATTTCTAATAATATAATGTTTTGTATTATGTCCTCACAATATATATAATCGCCAATAAGATCAAACTCGAACACCATAAATCAAGTCACATAGGCAAATGATGGAGCCTTCGAAAAAGCTAATGCATAATAAAAATAGAAAGATGCATTAAGATTGGATCTAACTAATTGGCTAAAGACTACAAAAAAAATAAAAAATAAAAAATAAAAATAAAAATTTAACATAAGAAGTGATGAGGTGATGATTCCTCCGTTTATATGCATTAACCATAAGAAGTGATAAAGTGATGATTTCTTTATTTATATGATTGATCGAATGTGTTTCTTTTTACACCGATAATTAGATCTTAATAAAATAAAATTCATATTTTATGTGAGAGTTAATTAGAACTTAGTCTCTATAGTTTAGCAAAATTAATTATCAATCCTCATAGTGGTATAAACCATATATTTAATTCCTCTATTTTGAAATCTGATAATAATTTAATCATTTTTGTTCATTTCTTGTCATTTTCCAATTCATTTTAATTTTTTATTTTAAGAAAAAGAAAAAGGTAAAAAAAAATTAGATAGGAAGGGAAGATTGATAAGGGAAATTTTTTTTTTTTGGACTAAATTAGCCAGGGTCAACATTGATGAAATTACTGTTTGATAATATCTCATATTACAGTAATTAAACACTTTTTTTGGATAAACTACCGGGACTAAATTATAATTAATTAATTATTAGTCTAGGAAAGGTTGGGTCCTACAATACCTCTTTGATTTCCTCTCCACTCCTCGTACATAAGAAGGCTTCGCTGACCCTCCCACTTGAGTATTTCCCGCCATTTCACCTCTTCTTGGCTCGTCCCTACTCTCTCTCTCTCTCTGTCTCTCTCACTCACTCTCAGAGTCAGAAAAATTAAAGAAAGAAGGTATGTTGTGGGTGGACAAGTACAGACCCAAAACCCTAGACCAGGTCATCGTCCATCAAGACATTGCCCAAAACCTCAAGAAACTGGTACCTCCTCCTATTTATTCCTTTTTATTGTTATTATTATGAAAGCTGAAAAAGTGGTAATTTAGGGTTTTTGATTAATGTTCTGTTTATTGTACTCTAATAGTCTCTAATAGTGTTTTTTTTTTTTTTTTTTTTTGGTATTTAGGTCAGTGAACAAGACTGTCCGCATTTGCTTTTCTATGGGCCCTCTGGTTCTGGCAAAAAACCCTAATCATGGCCCTTCTTCGCCAGATCTTTGGTACCAGTGCTGAAAAGGTCTCATTTTGTTATTTTTCTTGATTTTTAATTTATTTTGTTAATGTCTACTTTCTTCTTGCGTTGGTGTTACCTCTTGCCTCTTGTTTGTTTATTGAGAGAAATACTGGGAAAGAATGCAATCTTATTTTTTGGGCTTTTTTTGTCATAAATGCTGTAAACATTAATTATTAATGGGTTTTTATTGTTTGTTATTATGGATTTTTAACTCACAGCTTGTCAGGTGATAAGAATTTTAGTTATGTTGTTTATTTTCAATTTAGATTGTGATGGTTGAAGATGAAATTTGGAGAAACTGAATAACTTTATTTTTGGATTGAAAGTTAATTGTGGGTCGTTGTTTGGTCGCAGGTGAAGGTGGAAAATAGGACATGGAAAATCGATGTAAGCTTCACCTCTTCTAAAGGAACTGAAATTTTTATTACTTATTCAATAACCTGTTTATGGGATGAGCATTTGCTCTCTGACTTTGTAGCTCTTATTGAGGAAAGAATTTCTTGCATGAATAGGTTTTTTGTGAGATTAATTAGAGTTCTCTGAATTTTTTTTTTGTCTATAGAGATGAGTGCTACTCGAATGTTTTATGTACCAATTGATAATTCAAACATATGGTAATATATGAGGATAAGTTGGTTTTCTAACGTTGTTTAAATTCAGATAGGATCTTGGGATTGCAACTAAGTTAGAATTACCGACCTCTAATGATTAATCTTAGATCAACCATACCTTTTCTAATTCTTGGTTTTCTATCCTTGTTTTTTTATGATTTCATTTCAGGCTGGAAGTAGAACCATCGATCTAGAGCTGACCACATTGTCAAGCACAAACCATGTGGAGCTAAGCCCTAGTGATGTAGGATTCCAGGACAGATATATAGTTCAGGAGATAATTAAAGAGATGGCTAAGAATAGGCTGATTGATACAAAAGGGAGAAAAGGATATAAAGGTAATTGGGATTTTTTCTTCTACTCTTCAACATCATGATTCAGATAAATTGTAACATCTCCTGTAATTTGTATTTAATATTCATAGCAAGCCAAAATGCATACTTAATTATGACCAGTTGAGAGGAAGGTGAATGTTTGAGATAGATACAGTTCAAGTGAAGACATTGCTACATAGAGTGTCTCCTTTGTTTATATATTAAAAAAAAAAAATGTTAAGATGAATGAACATGACAATGAACCGTGTTCTTTAAGCAAATAATTTATTTTCCACTGCTTTTTTCTGAAAACTAGAAATAAAAATTAGATCCATCACCTTCTTCTTAGTTTCATGGAGCATCTGTATAGAATGCTTCTTCAGGTGATCACTGATTGGAGACATGCATAAAGTGGCTTCTGGGTGCAAACAATCAATTGCAATTTGTTTTGTTGGTATAATACTATTGAAATATGTGGCGTCCCCATGTGCATGGACATGGACATTCATTTGTATTTTACATGCTTTCTCATTATGAATGTCCATTTTGATTTTCATGAATTGCTAGTTGTAATAAAAGCATTCATTCTCATTGACTAGCTATTTCCGAAACTTTACCATTGATAGTTTACGTTGGAATGGCAGTACTAGTGCTCAATGAGGTTGACAAGCTTTCAAGAGAAGCACAACATTCTCTTCGTAGAACAATGGAGAAATACAGTACCTCCTGTCGTCTAATTCTTTGCTGCAACAGTTCTTCAAAGGTTACTGAAGCCATCAGATCTCGCTGTCTGAATGTGAGGATAAATGCACCTAAGGAGGAACAGGTTGGATTAATGTTGTTTGCTTGGAAACTGATATATATATTCCAGAGTAGTTGCATTTGAATGGAACATGCATTTGCCTTGCCAAACATATAAATACCAGTTATTTGTTTGTTTTCCTGAACAAGGGCATGGTATGTGATATAGAAATACAAACATGCATTGGTCTTGTGCCTGGATAGAGTTTTTTTAACAGTACTTTTTCAGTGTCCTATGAATATCTCAGCAAATCTCACCTTATCACTTTTTTGACTTATATTTTTCAGAATTGGCCAAATGAAACATTAGCAAATAAGGAATGTTAGCTCCGAGATTGTCAGTTGTATTATTATTCCTTCTTGTTTTATGAGTTTTATGAAATTCCTTGCTCCAGATTGTTAAGGTATTGGAGTTCATTGGGAAGAAAGAAGGGCTGCAGCTGCCACCTGGATTTGCTGCTCGTGTAGCAGATAAATCAAATAGGAGTTTAAGAAGAGCTATTCTTTCGCTTGAGACATGCCGTGTTCAACAGTTAATAACACCTCTCTCCGATCAGTACTGCTATTTATTATCTCCTTTCTCTTCAACACAAAGCTGGAAATGTAGTATCACAAGGCTTCTATTAATACTCATATCCTGTCATTGTGACTGTAGGTATCCTTTTACAAGTAATCAAGCAATTCCCCCGATGGACTGGGAGGAGTATGTCTCTGAAATATCTGCCGACATAATGAGGGAGCAGAGCCCTAAAAGGTTTGGTTTTATATGCATCTTATGTTGTATAATGTCTGATACAAAATGAAGATTTGATTTTTATAGCCTTTTAGGTCATCTTTCTTCATTTAAACTTTCTAATCAAACATATTCTACATATGCTTTAGGCTGTTTCAGGTTCGAGGGAAGTTATACGAACTACTTATTAACTGTATTCCTCCAGAAATTGTTCTGAAGGTAAGGAACCTTCAATGTATTTTTCCTCAACTTCTGTTTTGTTCCTTAATCTTCAGTTTGAAGTTTATTTTTGATCTTGTCTCAGAGGCTACTTTCTGAATTGTTGAAGAAATTGGATGAGGAGTTAAAGCATGAGGTCTGCCATTGGGCTGCATATTATGTAGGTTATAATATCTTGTTTTATCTGCTTGTGTTACAATGGTTACTTTCACTCTCTAAGCAATTTGGTTAGGTGGTTGCATTTGCTTCATCTGATTCGTGCCAGGTTGCAACTTGATGGGTCTGCACTATTGATGCATTAGCATAAAATACAGACTATAATCATATTGATCACAACTCAGTTCTTTTGTCTGCAAAGCAAGCTGATTTTATTAACTTACTCCCTAGGTCATGGCTTTTTTCATAGATAGTTTTGACTGATCATAAAAACTCACCACACATATGCACACGGGCACCCACAATACTCCATGGTAATAATTATTTTTCATCGCTTAATAGATAATGAACCTAAAGGGGGAAACAAACATAATGTAAAACACAAGGATATGGCTTACAATGTTATTTGATTCTAATTTTAGCCGAAAAGTTTATGATTGCTTCAAAGGACGTTTGAGAATTAGGCAGTTTGCATGCACATAGTTGGTTTCCTGTTTTGGCTGTCAGTTGCTGATTCCTCATGCAAAGCCAGTGTTAAAAAGTTATTTCCTTTTCTTTTCTGGAAGAAATTCAGAATTTGTGGAAGGAATGAGAGATATATGAGTGTAATAACAAGCATATAGAAATTTCGATGATAATGATTTGTTTTGGAAACTTGGAGTGTGACAACTCTGGTATGTTACAAAATTAGCAGTGAAAGAGTAGCTTTAGGTATTATTGTCAATGTGCATGGCTTGCAGTGTTTCTTAGCTATAAAAAAATGTATCTCGAGGTTATCTTTTGTTTTTTCATGCCATTTTACTCTGAATATATTTTTTTATCTTCCTACAGGAACATAGGATGCGTCTGGGACAGAAAGCCATATTTCACCTGGAAGGTACTTCGATTTTTCTGGAAAACAACGTGATAGAATCAGCTGTTACAAGCATATAAATTTAATCTGCATTTTTGTTTTCCATTCCCATTCCAAGTATACGAAGATTGCAGGGCATGAATGTTACTCCATCTCAAAAAGTTTCAAAACAGTGTTTCCGTTGAAGCAGGATATCTCAAAGAACTTATAAGAAATTTCATATATGAATATATGTCCTTATCTCCTTGTTTTTCACCTCAACTAATTGGCTTGCATTAAATATTCTCACATGCATCACCATTTTTCTTTCTTTACATGCACAAGTCATCTAATTGTGCACTACTTTTTTCATCATTTGCTGTTGAGACTCATAATTTTTTTTCAATTGTGTTTACTCTTACCAATTTGAAACTATCCATTCCAGATTGTGATCTTTGCTATGGAATACAATGAGCCTGTGCTGTTCTGTTCCTAGCATTTTGGTTTGGGAAGTGTAAATGCTTGATTATCAATTTCTCATCTTGTCCCTTGACTTGTGAAAAATATCACAATTACACATCATTTGAGAATAACATTGATTATGATTAAGTAATTGCATTAGAAATTATTCCACTGAGATATATTATCCTTAGCTTTCTGACTTTTGCTATACTTCAATAGATGTTCTTACTAAAGTTGATTTTTACGCATGATTTTTTCTGGTTTGTCTGAGTGAATCTTAGTTTTTGAATTTCCATATAGCCTCTTGAGCCCAAATGGCTCATTGACACCTTTTCTTATGATTTATTTATCTTTCAGCATTTGTGGCCAAGTTCATGAGCATCTACAAGGGTTTCCTTATTGCAACATTTGGCTGAAGAAGGTTGCAGCACGTTAGCACACAACGTTTAAATGCATAGAAGAAGAGGGAGACACTCTTGTTCTAATTTTGAAGTTCTAGGAAGAAGTTTTCTTGCAATGTCTTCCCAGTAGTTGGGTTTGTAATGTTAAGATTGTTGGCAATGTTACATTTATCAATGTGATTGCAAAGTTTTGGATCTCTGTTCTCTGTCTTTCCATCTTCTCCCATTTTGATTCCTCTTCCCAACTTAATATATTTTTTTTATGAATTTGGCTGAGGTAGGATAGGAAGGTACCTGTACCTCACCATTGGTTTGATACTTGACTTTCTCAAACAAAGTTGCAATTTGCTTAACGTAGTAAATTGATAACTCCCAGGATCTCGACGTTTGTGTAAAAATGAAAAATGGATGATGTAGAATTGGAGCATCTTACTGCTGAAACTCAGTAGAAGATTACATTACTATTGCCATATTGAAATTTGAAATATCTTGAAGATAGTAGAATTTTCATTTTTTCTTTAACCGGAATTGACTTTGCATAACAGTCAACGACATCGAACGGGATGCGGGTTAGGCTCTGGGCCGGGCCCACCTAAACTCATCCCTCTACCTTGCCCTGGCTCAAACGGGTCAGGTTTTATGGTTAAATCAGGTATAAAAGAGTGCCAGCTAGAGCGAGTGAGGCAAAACCTGACCCTGGTTCCAGCACGTCGGGTACCCGACTTAGCATTTACCCAAGTCAAACCAGGTACAATTTTTTTTTTTTATTTGATTGTAAACGTATTTTTGAATCAATTTATAGGTCGATTAAGACTAAATTTTTGTTTTTCAATCGAATTTAAAAGCCTATCTTTTATATTAGCATGATGCATTAAGAAATTTGAAATTTTTTTCTATGAGTTGGTTTTAAATTTCTTAAAATTTAAATTCAAAAAGTTAAAAAAGGAATCAAATCTTCTTAATCAGCAGACTAATTATTTGAGATCATCATATATAAATAAAACCTTATAATATACAAACAATCACTAAAATATGAGACATAGGCATTTTTTTAATAAAAAAAAAGAAAAAAATTTCCAATGCTATTTTATTGTTGCTTTTATTATATTATGTCCAATTAACTATTAAATATCATATACAAGTAACATGTTTGCACTGAAAAATACCAAAAAGTCATCAAATTATTAAATATAATTTATTGATGATAATTTTATCTTAATATTCGTAGAGGTTTCTTATGCTCCAAATCTCACATTTGAGGGTTATGAGAGAGATTGAATTAGATAAAAGAAATGGCTAATAGACTTATCTATAATTAAAGAATTCTTTTTAGAAAGCGGGACAAATAAACCAACTCATTGCTACAGTTGCAGGTCGGAAAACCGTTCACTTTCGCACCAGGTCTTTTCACCGGACTTAAGGCATTGCAAGGTTAATTTATTTTTAATATATTTGACCATTTTTTTAATGTTATTTTGATATTTTATTAAAAACACATGTGTTGATTTTTTTTTTTTTAAACTTAAAAATAAACGAAATACAAATAAAATTGACGGAGTGTCAATCAAAACGATCTATTATTTAGAAATCAAAATTATTAAAAAAAGAAATCCAAACAAAGTACATCAAAAAGACATAATTCAAAATACATTTTTATCGATTAGCCGCTAATAAATAAGACAAGTCAAGTAAAATGCTAGGGGATCGTGTTAAAATTACAATCTCCAATAAACCAATATCTCACTTCTTTTGCATTGTTCTTTGTAAATAGGTGTTTTTTATTTTTATTTTGCATTTCTATGACCTGAATTTTGGTCATTCCTCAATTTAATTGCATATACATAGCTTTGATCTCTTTGTTATTTCTCTAAATATTAAGTTTAAAAGCCAGGTATTCAGGTAATAATATGGAAAAAAAACCTCTATAAGTTGGTGTATATTTCTGCAACATAATGCTAAGAAATAGTAATTATTTAAATAAATATTGAGGACGATGATAGAATTTTTGTGATAACATGACATTTACAGATACCCAAGCAGGACGGGAAATTATATATCTTAGAAGATAAAATAAAATAAAATAAATCTCAAAAGACGATAATGATATTCGTGAACAAAAAAAATAATAAATAAGTTCAAATTTAAAAAATATTAAGTAGGTTCCTTTTCTTTTCTTGAATTTTCAATTATTAAAAAAAAAAAAAATTGCCGTAGACTTTTCTGTTTCGGACCTTAAAAACGACGCCGTTTCTTTCTTTCTGTAAGAGGCTAAACTGAAAGTAGAAGGACCGATTGAAGCAGAGAGCGTGGTGTTTGTTCATAAATCACAGGGAAAATCGACAAAACCTAATCTTCCCTTTCCCTCTCTCTCTACCTCGCTATAAGCTAAGCCCTTCAAAATTGGATTGAATAGAAGGTAACTGAATCCCACTCTCATTTTCAATTTTTTATAACCTAGGGTTCTTTTTTCCTTCAATTATTTCCTCTATTCCATTCATATTCCAGTTTATTAAATTACTTATTAGTTTACTGATTTTGTGTCTCTGATGTTTTTTTTTTTTTTTATAACTAGGTAAAAGAATTTAGCTATCAGGCATAGGAAGGGTTTTAAACAGGGGATTTTTTCACCATGTCGGTTACAGCAGGTGTTAGTGATACAGCGTTAGCTATTAGGGATAAGCTTAGAGGTAAAATTGGACAGACCAAGGTTAAAAGGTATTGGCCTGGTAAAGCGCCTGAGTGGGCAGATGATGCTGATGAGGATGGAGATATTAGGATGGCTAGGGCTGCTGCCTTGGAGAAAGCTTTTCCTAGTCGTGATGATTCGGATGTTGCAAGGAAAGATGATCCTAGGCTGCGTCGTTTGGCTGAGAGCAAGATTGATAATCGTGATGAAGTGAGGGCGGATCATAGGAGGATTCGGCAGGCTGAGATTATTTCAACAGAAGAGGAGGAGACGCGGAGGCAAGAATGGGCCGATATGGAGGAAGAGGACGAGGATGCGTTGGAGGAAAGGAGAAGAAGGATTAAGGAGAAGTTGCGCCTGAGGGAGCAAGAGGAGGCTGCGCTTCTTCCTGTAGAGGAGGAGGAGGAAGTTGAGGAAGAGGAAGAAGAGGAGTCTGAGTATGAGACTGATTCCGAGGAGGAAATGATGGGGATGGCTATGGTGAAGCCTGTTTTTGTGCCCAAGTCGGAGAGAGATACTATAGCTGAACGTGAGCGGCTTGAGGCTGAAGAACGAGCCCTTGAGGAAAAGGAGAGGAGGAAATTGGAGGAGAGGAAGGTTCAGACGAAGCAAATATTGGTTGAGGAGATACAGAAAGAGGAATTGATTCAGAAGAATCTGGAGATGGAAGCAAATATTGCTGATGTGGATACTGATGATGAAGTTAATGAGGCAGAGGAGTATGAGGCTTGGAAGGTCAGGGAGATTGCAAGGATTAAGAGGGATAGGGAGGACCGTGAGGCAATGTTGAAGGAGAGGGAAGAGATTGAGAGGGTGAGGAACATGACCGAGGAAGAGCGGAGAGAGTGGGAGAGGAAGAATCCGAAACCTGCTCCACCACCAAAGCAGAAGTGGAGGTTCATGCAGAAATATTTCCACAAGGGTGCTTTCTTCCAGGATCAGCCTGATGACCGAGCATCAACTGTCGGAGCAGATGGCATTTTCAAACGTGATTTCTCATCTCCGACTGGGGAAGATAAGATGGATAAAACCATATTACCAAAGGTTATGCAAGTCAAACACTTTGGTCGTAGTGGAAGAACGAAATGGACCCATCTTGTCAATGAGGATACAACTGATTGGAACAATCCGTAAGTCCATTCAAACCATTATTTTTACTTTTATAATATTGACTTTCTATCATATCTGCTGTTTTACGAGCATTTATTTCTCCAATGTTGATCATTTTGCATTCTGAATTCAAAAAGGTCCCATTCATTTCCCTTAAGTTCTGTGTACGAACAAGGATTAGTTTAATCCGTTCTTGTTTTTATTGAAATCAGCCTAAGCATTTTATCAGCTAGAGAACATGGATAGCATAAACAGCATGAAACAGAATTGGTCCTTTGCATGTTCCTGATGCCAGGATTTGTAATATAATTATATATACTCTCCAAATTTAATTTTTTGGTCTCAAACTACAAAGTGCTTTGGAGTATATTTGCTGATGGAGAACTTCAACTCCAAATATGAAGATGATGCTTTATGCTAATTAGTAGAAGATGATCGCAATCTAATTTAAAACTGTTGCTAAATTTAGTTGAATCATTTGGACTATTAAGGTGACATATGGTATGAACAATCTATTCTCCTTTTTGGCCAAAGAGGCATCAAGCGTGAGGTCTTGGGAGTTGGGTCACCAGGTTCAAATGCCCCATCTTGAAATTTCAAAAAATAAAATATAAAAATAAGTGCCCTCTTTTCCATGTGTTTTCATGCATGTCTTCAAGGAAATAATATTATTTTGAGGGAAATTAGAGTCTGCATCTTTTGATAGCAAGGGTAGTTACTATCACATTCTTCAGTTTTATGACCTTTGTCTTACAAATTATAAAAAGACAAGAGATGTGAAAATGAAAATTCTCTCTTTTTTATGGGAAATTTTTAAAGTTTGTATTGATGGGCCATTTTGAGTTAAATTACTTATGACAGTTGCGAACAGCTTGCCCTAGACATCTTTATGCTTTAATATTATTTTGCTCGCTCTTTTTTATCAAATTGGCGACTGAATGGATCTTAAAATAATTGTTGTTACAGTGGCAATACCAATCTATTTTTGGGATGCTTTACCCTTTTTTATTTTTTATTTTTTTTTATTTTTGAGTCAAGAGGTTGTTGAAATAACAAAAGAAACAATTTTGTAAGTTATATACAACTCTGAAACATTTATTTACTGTGTGTTTGTTTTGCAGGTGGACATACAATGATCCTCTGCGGGCAAAGTACAATGCAAAAATGGCTGGAATGAATGCTACTATAGATAAACCCAAAGGAAGCAAAAAGTTGAAGGATTGGGAATCCCGGTAACCTAAATTTTGAAGTGTTATTAAGCTCAGTGAAGAAACTGTTCATTGAACTATCCTTTTAACTAGAGATACAAATTCTACTATGTAATCTTGGAATATGCAGAATTCCATTGTACTGGTACATGGATGCTCACTTTTGTCCATCCTCAGAGTTGTATTGTTGTATGGTTCTATTTAATCATGGTGCAGGCGGATATTCATGTCATTTTCATCTATGGGGAATTTCATGTGCTGATTATAGATGGTGGTCTGTTATCATTTTCACAATTGGCTTTATTAGTCACCATTAAAGTTCCTCAAATAGTTTATTTATTTATTTATTTTTATTGACATTCCACATGCTACTATGGTGAGAAAGCAGCTCTTGTTTGAAACCTATCTCTGTTTTCTCCAATGATTTTCGGCTTCTAAGTTTTACTTGTTACTTTATAGGAAAATTGCATGTCCTGTTGCTGTCATACAGAGTTACAGACATTGGAAGGCTTATTGCTCTCTAATCCCATCTCCTGGGACATTTAGGCTTCTTAAATATGGTCCAGAGCCTAGACACGCAATTTCGTTTCTCCTGTCTGATACAAATTATAGGACACGTTCCTGTCAGGAGAGGGGTGGTAGTTTAGTGCATTACCTAGCAAATTACAGTAAAAAGTTAAAAAAATAAGTAGCAGATTTTTCAGACCATCGAAACATGTTCCTCCTTATGGAATATGTCATTTGTGCCCAAATGAGAAGGGGTCCATGTGTTATTTGTGCCCCAATGAGAAGTGTTTTTATCCTGATCGCTACCTGCGTCTTTGCCTTGTATAATCGAACTGTTGGATGCATGGTTAGTTGTGGCAGAGTACACCAAAAACCTTATCTCAGAATCCTTAATAACCCAAGTCAATTAGGCAAAATAACAAAAGTCAATTAGGCAAAACAGGCTCTCTGATTAAGAGATCTGTTAGAAAGTCATAACCACATCAGCTTGTTTAATCATATGGTAAAATCAAAATTGTTGCTTGAAATCATGGTTCATGTCTACCAGTGCTCACAAATCATAATGCAAACGATGAAATTGACTATTTGTAGCTTCCATGACTACGCACATAGAATACACTTCTTGTATATAACACGATATCGGATGTATTGTTCATCAGAAACATCAGAAATGGAAACGAAACAAGGGAAACTAGGAAATGTGCACTTTAAAAATGAGAACAAAATGAACTGAGAAATCGTAAAAGACAATAAACTAGAGCCTCAAAATAGCTAAGCCATCACATTATTCACATCAATACATGAAAAGCATCAAAAGTCTGCTACATTATGATTTCTTCATCCAATTTGCCATATCACTTGTCAGAGTACCCAAAGATATGCCTTCAACCTGTCAAATTAACATAAACCAATTAATTAGTAACCATATTGATGTTGGGGGGGGGGGGGGGGGGTGGGGGGTGGGGTGGGGGGGAACTATCCTAAAACATGTACATGTTAATGATTTAAAATAAAACAGGAAAATCAAACTCCACAATAAAGCAATAAAGGCCAACAAGATCGCATAAAAGAACAGGCGACTAGAAGCTGTAGCCTAGATAGTATGACGATCATTTTTCTCAAAACTGCAATTGAAAGTTACTGCCTCACAACAACCCAGCAACCTCCATGCATGAAATCGATGCCTATGTTCAGGCTTCCATATTTTCACACTATCCCAACCACATTAAGACCGTCATATCACCATTGACTAAACATCTTGCAGAATAAATCGGTCTGAATTCAAGATCCTCGGTTTCAATTCTTTGCTTTAGATAGAAATCTCCTTCATAAGTCAGTTTCTTTAAGATAGAAATCTCCTTCATAAGTCATTCCTTTGCTTTAGATAGAAATCTCCTTCATAAGTCAGTTTCTTTAAGATCTTTGAATCATAATGGCACCTTTAAAACCTAAATCTTTCTTGACAATGTTTTTGATTGAATTCTAAGCAGTCCCAATGCAGCATCCTCCGAGCCAGAGCTGAACTTTCTTAAAGCTTGAGTGGAAATTAGCAACTTGCCGCTCCAATTTCTCATCTTCTATCTACATTTCGTAATAATGCTCCTTGCATCTAAGTTTAAAAGGAAGTTATAACATTCAGATACCTTATTGTGCCTTATGAGCAACCTTACCTTTGTGGCCGTGCTAAATTGTTAACCATAAGTTGGTATTCCAGTCCCCTTTCCATGAACATGACCTGCTTCCTCAACAACCGATATCTAAAGGAGATACATACCTAGATAACATGAAATAAGCCTACACCAATGCAGATGAATACCTAACTTGTGAGACAGAAATTGCAGAACTAATATCTTAGAGTGAATTACCAATTAAAATACTACTTAATCTAGTTAAAGGTACTAACAGTTGACATGAATTCTGCTCAAGGCTGTTTAGCCTAATGGTGCACTTCCTACCATGCAAAATACAAGTGGGGTTAAATGGCCATAGTTGGAATTGCAGGTCTAGGGTTGGATCCATAACACCATCATAAATACGAAAATCAGATAATTTAAATGAATTCTAAAAGGGAATAGGAAATAATAAAATATTAACAAAACTTTTGCCAAAAACAGAATAGAGCAGTACAGTTTTCTCATATAAGAAGGGGTGGGTGATTACTGCATAAACAATCGTTGTCATATGCGGAATCATTTATCTCTAAACGTAAGCTGGATAGAATGCTTAAACTGTCAAAGGTCTGGAATTTGTGTGAAAACCAAAATTCGCACACAAAAAAGAAAAAAAGAAAAAGTGAGTTGATAACTAAATACCTGCTAATAAGTGCTGTGCTTAAACCGAAATGAGGGACTGGAAGTATGGATGGGCATGATACCCTTCATAATGCAATGGTACTCTAGCGTGATCCGAACTCCGAGGTCTTGGTTCTAAATCACAGATCTTGATGGATGTCCCATCACAAAGATTACAGGACATAGCTCTACGGTCCACAAATATCACAGCCTTCTTCTCCTTATCCTTTTCGCCGTGAATAATACTCAATACTGAAAATACAGCATACTTGCCTGTGAGGTCCCAACTTAGTTCAGGAAACACCATTCTCATAGATTGCAGATTCACATGGTAACATAAAGACCATCCTGTATATTCGAATTCCATCTCAAAAACATCAAATTCTAAAGAGGACCGGTTCTTGGTCAGTATCAGATGCATATGACCTCGAGATTCCCCAAATTACATGATATCCCAATCCATACCTTCCCATGAAAACATTGAGGGCATCGGCATTTCCTTCACGGACTGACTATCGATGTGAAAATACAGTGAGGTCTCTTCATAACTGTACCAATGAACGGCACCATCCAAAAATACTCCATTAGAATAGGTCATTCCAAGTGGCATTTTGAAAGGGATAGGATATGGACTCCATGATTTAGTCTCCGATGAGTAAACATCAATTTGAAATTTTTGCGGCCAGTAATTCCCTTTGCTAATACAAACAACCTTGTAGTGAGGTGACATCAAAGGATCAAATGCCAAACTCAGCGACCAACATGCACGTTTTGTAGCAAGCCAAGAAGATCTCACTCTTAATTTGTGTATAGCCCCGCTCCACTCTTAACATATTATTGACTCTTAACAGGTTGATGAATTTCAAAATAAATATTTTTTTGATCGTTCATCAGAAATTGAATAAATTATAAAAATTTTGGAGTTTAAGGCAAGTTTGACATTACAAAGAATAAGAAGGATTAAAGAAGATAAAAGACAAACCAAATTCAATTCCAATTGTTAATCAAAATATGTTGATAGTGGTGATTCAAGAAATCCATGCAGCTAGTTTTATTTTATTTGTTTTTTATTATTTAGAAAAAAGCTATTATAATAGGATTTTTATTCCTAATTAGCATTGTACCTTAACTTTCAACCTTACTTGACCATGAAGTTATTATTTATCTACCAATGAAGAAACTTCTGCGTTGTAATTTTTTGCCAACCCCATCAATACACTTTTTTTTTTTCTCTTGCAAATTTATCTTCCTTTACAGTTTTATGTTTTATCTTCCATCTTTTTTTCCATTTTTTTTTAAAGCTTTGCATTTTATCTTTCTTGCAATTTACTTAATTAAATCTACAATTTTTCTTTACTGCGTTTCTTAGCATAGCTACTAGCTAGTTTTCTTAGAGTTTACCTATCAAAAAAAAAATCATAATTTATTAATTTATTAAGTTTTTATATCTTAAAACCTTAATTCTTTTGCTCGATTTAAAACTCTTGGTTTCTTAGGATTCTTTTTTGAACCCTAATCTCTTGTTTGATCTCCTCTGATCGATCCCACTCTTACTTTGACTATAAAATATCTATGAAATCTGCATTCGTTTTATTCAAAGATAATCGTTGCTCTGTGTATTGCACCCGAATCCTACAAGGGAAAAAAAAATAATTGATAACATATTTATTGGCATACTCGGTTGAAGGTTCTGACAGTAAACAAGATAAGAAGACCTCACGATTTTTGGAGTTTAGAAACTAAGTTTGACACTAAAAAAAATAAGGAGGATAAAAAAATAAAGATAAACCAAATTTAACTACAGTTGTTAATCAAGGCGGGACAATAATGGTGGTGTAAGGAGTCCGTGCGGCTTGGTAAGTTTAATATTTGTCTTTTTATTGTTTAAGAAAAGCTGCGGTAATATATAGGAATTTATTCCTAATTAGTGGAGAACATTTATCTTTCTACTCTGTAGCTATATATAATTCAAGGGCTTTTAATAAAGAGGGCAAAAATAATGTGGCATAAGTAATTAACATTTCATTAAGCCCCTTAATTAGTCAACCATCCATCATCATGTGTTATCTTTGATCCTATCCGTAATTGCAAAATCAAAAGTCCTGGATATGTTATTATTTTTTTGAATCACATGGAAATTAAAAAAAAAAAACTAAATTAATTAGAAATAGAAACGTACGCGATTAACTAGTGAAAGTCTTCCTATTACGAAAAGGATTACAAAACCTAGCTAATCAAGTCCGGATAGTCTAAGGATTTTGCATGTATATTGCCCTATATATATATACACACAGGCAGCTAAGCTATAACACCCCCAAAATATTAATTAATCGTACTCTCTTCTTTAACTTGCTTACCTTTTGAGTCTTCTTCAGCTATTGTTTCTTCGAGTTAGAGATTAGAGTGGAAGAAGAGAGAAATATATCCTATGGCACTCAGGAGCGGTTGTGCTCAAAATGATCATCAACGCATCGTGGATAGAGCTGATGAATATGATGATGGGTCTTTTGATCAACTGTTTGAAAAGTATAGACAAGAAACAAAAGAGAACGATGGGGCATTTACATTGGTGGAAAAGGAAATTGTAATGGCATTGATGTGGATGCATAATAATGGTGCCAAAAGAGAGTCTTTCAAGTCCAGGAGTATAAGCCCCTCTGGTACTCGGAGTTGCTATGCTCAATTTACGCACCCACTTGGGATATTGCCTGTTATACCCAAGAAGAAGAGCACAGAAAGCGGAGATCAAAGGTTTATAATGCCCGAGAAAAGGCCAAGTAGTTCTGATAATAGTCATGATGATCATCACCATATTCTTGAAGAAGAAGAGGAGGAGGAGAAAGCCAAGAGTAGTGCCTCTAGTAAGAAAGAGAACGTAACTGGAATTCTTACAGGGTATGTAAACAAAAACACGTACTCAAAGACAGGCACTGCTCGTGAAGATAAGAAAGAGGGGAAAAAGAAAGAGAAAAAGATCAGTAGCAGTAATAGAAAACGATGCTTTGAACTTGAGGATGTTCACAAGGAGGAGGAAAAGAGGTCGCCAAGCAAACGAGGGAAGAGTGCTGGCTCAAAGGCACTGGACTTGGGTTTTGATTTCTCTGATGAAATAAAAGCTATAATCGGAGAAGATGGAGATAAGGATTTCAAGCTAAGGATAAGGAAAATTTTGTATCAAACTGATATGAGTGCGCACCATGATCGTTTCACAATGCCTTGTAGACAAATTAATGAATGCGAAAATCTCTTAATTGGTGATGAGAAGACGAATGTCTGTGAAAGTGGCATAGGAGTAACATTGGTAGAATTGGGTCTTGGTGATAACAAAAATAGCATGTTCACCAGTCAACTGAGGTTGAAGCAGTGGGACATGAATACAAGCAGTTCCTATGCGTTAAGAAGCGGCTGGAAAGATGTTGTGGGTAGGAATGTGGGAGTGCTCCAGAAAAATGACTATGTGCAGATTTACTCCTTCAGGCGCAAAGAGGAACTATGGCTCGTCCTCATCAAGGAGTCTGATCATGAAGAAGGTCGCAGAGATGGCGTCTTTGGAAGGAGTGGTACTCAAGGGAATGATGGAAATCGTCCTGCTATAGCATGACAATAGGATCGGTCAAGAGGAGGAGAATGGAGATAGTGCTAGTAGAAGCAGCCATGCATATATATATATAGCGATGAGCAACCTTAAGGTTAAGGTTTAATTAGAGTCATGCATGTACTTTTTTTTAATAAAACAAAAGGGGTTTAAACTTGACACCTATTGAAAGGCAGAGTAATACTAACTAATGGAAATTGACCATGTTTGATTAAATTTAACATCATCAAATTTTAAATTAACCAAAATGATTGTTTCATGACAAGAGTATAGCTTAGCTCACCTGAGAATTGCAGGTGTTTCTCCTCTTGGCTCCAAGCAAATTTATTTATTTATTTATTTTTTTTTTTCTTTCACTTCAGCAAACAGCTTGTCAGCTTCCAACTGTTTGCATTATGACTCATGGGCCTAATTACTCATTAAGCCCATTTATTAAGGGACCAGGCTTGTTGACCCATATTTGGCCTAGTACGTTAAAACAAGCTGAAAATCTTCTCTTCCTCTGCATTCATGGCAGAACAAGAAGAAGAAGATTCAAAAGTTAGCTCTCCCCAGCCTCCTCACCCTGTACTATCTATTTCTCTCTCTTTCTGATATGGTCTTACTGTGTTTGTTAAATTGGCAAGTCATTATTCGCTTTACTCAGTGTTATCTTTTTTTGCCTGTTATTATGCAAGACATGGTATGGAGCCAATTCACTTTTAAGCACAAAAAAAAAAAAAAAAAAAAAAAAAAAAAAAACCCTCTATGAAATTGAAACACACCCATTTATGTAAATTGTAAATTTAAATTCTTGATTGCATTTGATTTAACTAATTCTATGTGGGATTTGTTGAATCTTGAAATTTTTTTTTTTGAAGTCAATGAATGATCACGTATTTGGAGCTTATTGACATCTGATGGGAGATCAAATTATAGTGGGGTTATTTATTTATTGTAGTGTTTCTTATTTGTCTCAATTAAACTCATTTTATAATATTGACAATTTGCTGCATGCAATAGGTTTTGGAGGTCATATGCAAAAGTCTGGCAAAGACTAGCCGCTTTGCGGCAGGCACCAAGGCGGGATTTGCTGTGTCTTTGTTAAACAGGAAGTTGGATATTGGGGCACCTTTTGTTTTGCATATTGAAGCAGTTAAGGATGGGGAGGAACCCATTAGTTTTGGCCCGGATGCTGTGCTTGTTGATTATGGCAATGGATGGAAGTTGCAAACAGTTACTGTGTTAGATTATGGTGGTAATTAGCTTCTTTTAGTGTCTGATTATGTTGCTGTATTCTCTTGTGGTTGCTGTATAGATTTGCTTAATTGTTGGCTTTCCTAACTTGATTTCTTTTCTGAAGTAGGTGTTAGACAAACAGAGCATTTTCCGCAGATTCCAACACAGGTATGTAGTGGATTGGTATGGATTTCTTTGTTGTCTTCTTCAAGTTTTTTTTTTATTGTATCCATGAGGTAGAATTTAATGTATTTATGCATATATTGTTGGATAAAGGAACCTGGAAATATTTACAACATAGCTACATAGGATACTGGGATAGTTTCGTTGAATACATAATCCATTACAGAAACAAAAAAACCACATCTCAATAAGTGCTATTGAGCTGTTTTGTTTGAATCTATATTAATAGCAATACCATGAAGTCTTGGCCACACCACCCTACTTCAGTCATTTGTGGCTGACCTTTGATCAGATTCATTAAGAAAAACACAGGCAAGATTCATATGCAACAGTGTGAGAAATCATGTAATGTGGTGCTAAAAGCACAAATTATCAATTGCCAGGAAGACTTCCTGTGACCGATTATTCAGTGTGACGTCCCTTTTCTGTTATTTGCTAGTCTTGTACAGCTGTATGCTAGTTGTGTACCAGTGTATTTATGGTAGTTCTAAGAATCTTTTTGTTAATTCTCATATAATTATTTGGCTTTGTTGGTAAATACATATTCTTGGCATACATTAGCATATGTATCATATCAGACATCTATATGAAATGAACTGGTACCAATACATCTATTCCAATAAAAAGCTGATGTTTTTTTTTTTCCCCTACTAATATGGTATTCACAAACTTGCTTTAAATCTGAAAGTTATCCATAAGAGGAAGACTAAACTCTGATCTTGATGAATATGAGGTTGAAGGCCTAGAGCCCTAGACTGGTTGTTATTTATTTATTACCGAGTCTAATGCTGCTTACATCAGTTTAGTACCATGATTTTTCCTCTGTGAGAGAAACTTTGACTTATGAATCTCCTCGTGTAAATATTTACTGAGATTTGAATATTGTGTGCTTAGCTAAAATGATCTAATACTTTTAATTTCAGCAGAATTCTGATGGTTCACGTCCTGCAAAGACAGCTTCCAAACCAGGCATTGGTTTTGTGTACATTGCAAAGATAGTAGTAGCCTTCATTTTGCTTTTTGTGCTTGGTGCAATTTTCACACTAGCTCTTGAGAATCTTCCTAGACTCATATTGTTTATTAACTCGTTCATGTAATTACTTGTTTGCATTCTTCTAGTGATGTATGGAATGGATGGTGCTGAGTTAATATTTCTTTCTGACTAATTTGAATTGAGGCCCTTAAAGAGTTCTAACACAAGAAGAGAAGAGCAACTGCAGAAGAAGGCTTCTGAGAAAAATTGAACAGGATGATCAAAATCACTCAGAAGACCAGCGAATCAACCTTGCACTGACAATGGGGTGGGGAGGACAAATTCTGATTCCCAGTATATATATGCATACTGGGAAAGTTGTCTCTATTATTATATCCCAAGATTCTTTTTTGTCTTCTTGGTTGAACTATTGATTTACTATTTGATTCATTACATCTTCAACGTCCTGAATGTTTTCAAATACTGATGAATTAACCGTTAATGGAGGGGTTTCTAGTACAGAATCCAGTAGAGGAAGCTGTTACCGATCATTAACAAATATACCGACGTAATGAGTGATTGATCTTTCTCGAGCAGAGTGTTAAATCACTGGATATTACGTTTTTATAGTCTTTCGTCTTTTTAGTAGCACACCGAAAGAGTGGACATCACTCTTTTCAGTGAGTTGATATGTCCTCAAGTATTCAGGATCCAAGTAGCCTATTGTTCCTTTGACTTGAGTAGAAATGTGAGTAGCGTCAGAGCCTTCTGTGATCAATCTCGCGAGACCAAAGTCTGCCACTTTGGCACGGAGTTTCTCTGTGATGAGAACATTTGATGCTTTTATGTCTCTGTGGATTATTGGAGGATCTGTCAATTAAACAAGTGAAGTTCAGATTTCTGAAAGCTTCTGTGGTCCAACATATGAATCATGAAAATGTGCCAAATAAGCGAACAGATACACATCTCAAAACTGTTCTGCTGACTTTATGAATAATGTTTTATGTCCAGAGCATAACCACACAGGCTGGAAAATTTCAACCAAGCTAGCTACTTACAGTTGAAATTAGAAATCAAGAATTGTTCTGTCATGCTGCTGCTCATGCTGTATGATTGGATCAGATCAGCACTAATTTTGAATAAAAATAAGCTCTTACCTGTATACGTGTGAAGATAAGTGAGGGGCGGGAGAGTGAAGATTTTGTTTTTCTTTTGAGAATCAAAATCGGGAAAAAAATTAAATCTTACACGATGGGGGCGGTTTTACCAACAGCCTCATGAACTTTTTAAAAAACAACTAGCATTGATATGCACCTTTGTTCTTTGAGGCCTGAGGCCGTCAAGACAACCGCTTTAATGATTTCGCATCTATAACCCAATTTTGATGTAGTACTCTTAATAGATTATTGACTCTTAACAGGTTGATGAATTTCAAAATAAATATTTTTTTAATCGTTCATCAGAAATTGAATAAATTATAAAATTTTTTGAGTTTAAGGCAAGTTTGACATTACAAAGAATAAGAAGGATTAAAGAAGATAAAAGACAAACCAAATTCAATTCCAATTGTTAATCAAAATATGTTGATAGTGGTGATTCAAGAAATCCATGCAGCTAGTTTTATTTTATTTGTTTTTTATTATTTAGAAAAAAGCTATTATAATAGGATTTTTATTCCTAATTAGCATTGTACCTTAACTTTCAACCTTACTTGACCATGAAGTTATTATTTATCTACCAATGAAGAAACTTCTGCGTTGTAATTTTTGGGCAACCCCATCAATACACTTTTTTTTTTCTCTTGCAAATTTATCTTCCTTTACAGTTTTATGTTTTATCTTCCATCTTTTTTTCCATTTTTTTTTTAAAGCTTTGCATTTTATCTTTCTTGCAATTTACTTAATTAAATCTACAATTTTTCTTTACTGCGTTTCTTAGCATAGCTACTAGCTAGTTTTCTTAGAGTTTACCTATCAAAAAAAAAAAAAATATTCATAATTTATTAATTTATTAAGTTTTTATATCTTAAAACCTTAATTCTTTTGCTAGATTTAAACCTCTTGGTTTCTTAGGATTCTTTTTTGAACCCTAATCTCTTGTTTGATTTCCTCTGATCGATCCCACTCTTACTTTGACTATAATATATCTATAAAATCTGCATTCGTTTTATTCAAAGATAATCGTTGCTTTGTGTATTGCATCCGAATCCTCCAAGGGAAACAAAAATTAATTGATAACATATTTATTGGCATACTCGGTTAAAGGTTCTGACAGTAAACAAGATAAGAAGATCTCAATCTTTGTATATAGCTCGCTCTCTACTCTGAGCTTGTTGAAGTTCAAAATAAACATTTTTTAATCAGTTATTGGGCCAAATTACAAGATTTTTGGAGTTTGAAACTAAGTTTGACCCTAAAAAAAATAAGGAGGATAAAAAAATAAAGATAAACCAAATTTAACTACAGTTGTTAATCAAGGCGGGACAATAATGGTGGTGTAAGGAGTCCGTGCGGCTTGGTAAGTTTAATATTTGTCTTTTTATTGTTTAAGAAAAGCTGCGGTAATATATAGGAATTTATTCCTAATTAGTGGAGAACATTTATCTTTCTACTCTGTAGCTATATATAATTCAAGGGCTTTTAATAAAGAGGGCAAAAATAATGTGGCATAAGTAATTAACATTTCATTAAGCCCCTTAATTAGTCAACCATCCATCATCATGTGTTATCTTTGATCCTATCCGTAATTGCAAAATCAAAAGTCCTGGATATGTTATTTTCTATCATTAAGATTAATACAAATCCAAAGTCCGTAGACTACTGAGAAAAAGAATGCTGCAGGAATCCTCAATGGAAAGAACGTATCCATAAATATCTGTTAATTTTTTTTTTTGTATTTCAAGTGAATTTCCTTTTGATATGTATAATGAAAAAAAAATTGGGGAATTGGTAAAATTTCAATTTGGAATTTATAAAATTTAATTAAGACAATATATAGACAACATGAATAATTAATATTTAGCAGCAATCGCTTTTTAATGTATATTATTTATGTAACAGAAAACAAGATAATTAATTGACAGTTTAAATTTTTATTCTTAAATAGGATAATAATTAAAGTAAACAAATGTTCCATAGTTTTTTATACATAGATAATTTAATTTTTCTTAGGTTGTTCCATGCGAGTTTATACGTTAATAGATTTTCATTTTTTTTAATATTAAACTATTTCTTGGTTTTCAATTTTTGTTACATTTTTTTAAAAAATAATTTTTTTATTTTTTTATTATTGAAAATTAACTTTTCCTTTACAGTTAAAGAAGCGTCTTTGTGAAATAAAAAAAGAGTGGGAAAATGGAAAATGGACAAACTATGATGATTATATAAAAGAATATATATGAGAGAGAGTAAAAAAAAAAAAAAAAACCGCATATGTGAGGCTACCTCCTCTAACATATAAAAAAGATAGATGTGTACATTATCTCTAAAAAATAATATCACTCAAAAATAGGAGAAATATTCCCATATAAAAAAGCATAGTGAAATTGCCATTGTAAATCGTAGACCTAGCTAATAAATACAGATAGAATATTCAAGTATTGTCATCCAACTTTCAATTTCCTCAAGTCACTTAATTCATACCATTAAGAGCACAATATAGACTTTTTCTTTCAAAACAAATTGTTTTGTTATTATTTTTTTGAATCACATGGAAATTAAAAAAAAAAAAACTAAATTAATTAGAAATAGAAACGTACGCGATTAACTAGTGAAAGTCTTCCTATTACGAAAAGGATTACAAAACCTAGCTAATCAAGTCCGGATAGTCTAAGGATTTTGCATGTATATTGCCCTATATATATATACACACAGGCAGCTAAGCTATAACACCCCCAAAATATTAATTAATCGTACTCTCTTCTTTAACTTGCTTACCTTTTGAGTCTTCTTCAGCTATTGTTTCTTCGAGTTAGAGATTAGAGTGGAAGAAGAGAGAAATATATCCTATGGCACTCAGGAGCGGTTGTGCTCAAAATGATCATCAACGCATCGTGGATAGAGCTGATGAATATGATGATGGGTCTTTTGATCAACTGTTTGAAAAGTATAGACAAGAAACAAAAGAGAACGATGGGGCATTTACATTGGTGGAAAAGGAAATTGTAATGGCATTGATGTGGATGCATAATAATGGTGCCAAAAGAGAGTCTTTCAAGTCCAGGAGTATAAGCCCCTCTGGTACTCGGAGTTGCTATGCTCAATTTACGCACCCACTTGGGATATTGCCTGTTATACCCAAGAAGAAGAGCACAGAAAGCGGAGATCAAAGGTTTATAATGCCCGAGAAAAGGCCAAGTAGTTCTGATAATAGTCATGATGATCATCACCATATTCTTGAAGAAGAAGAGGAGGAGGAGAAAGCCAAGAGTAGTGCCTCTAGTAAGAAAGAGAACGTAACTGGAATTCTTACAGGGTATGTAAACAAAAACACGTACTCAAAGACAGGCACTGCTCGTGAAGATAAGAAAGAGGGGAAAAAGAAAGAGAAAAAGATCAGTAGCAGTAATAGAAAACGATGCTTTGAACTTGAAGACGTTCACAAGGAGGAGGAAAAGAGGTCGCCAAGCAAAAGAGGGAAGAGTGCTGGCTCAAAGGCACTGGACTTGGGTTTTGATTTCTCTGATGAAATAAAAGCTATAATCGGAGAAGATGGAGATAAGGATTTCAAGCTAAGGATAAGGAAAATGTTGTACCAAACTGATATGAGCGCACACCATGATCGTTTCACAATGCCTTGTAGACAAATTAATGAATGCGAAAATCTCTTAATTGGTGATGAGAAGACGAATGTCTGTGAAAGTGGCATAGGAGTAACATTGGTAGAATTGGGTCTTGGTGATAACAAAAATAGCATGTTCACCAGTCAACTGAGGATGAAGCAGTGGGACATGAATACAAGCAGTTCCTATGCGTTAAGAAGCGGCTGGAAAGATGTCGTGGGTAGGAATGTGGGAGTGCTCCAGAAAAATGACTATGTGCAGATTTACTCCTTCAGGCGCAAAGAGGAACTATGGCTCGTCCTCATCAAGGAGTCTGATCATGAAGGAGGTCGCAGAGATGGCGTCTTTGGAAGGAGTGGTACTCAAGGGAATGATAGAAATCGTCCTGCTATAGCATGACAATAGGATCGGTCAAGAGGAGGAGAATGGAGATAGTGCTAGTAGAAGCAGCCATGCATAGATATATTGTGATGAGCAACCTTAAGCTTAAGGTTTAATTAGAGTCATGCATGTACTTTTTTTGTAATTTTTTTAATAAAACAAAAGGGGTTCAAAATTGACACCTATTGAAAGATAGAGAACACTAACTAATGGAAATTGACCATGTTTGATTAAATTTAACATCACCAAATTTTAAATTAACCAACGAATATTACTTATTTTTGCTTCCACACCGATCAACTTCTTTGCTCCAACTGCAATAACAAATTCCTTAATACTTCAAACCAAAATGATTGTTTTATGACAAGAGTATAGCTTAGCTCACCTGTTTCTCCTCTTAGCTCCAAGCAATTTTTTTTTTTTTCCATTCACTTCTGCAAACAGCTTGTCAGCTTCCAACTGTTTGAATTATGAATCATGGGCCTAATTACTCATTAAGCCCATTTATTAAGAAACAAGGCTTGTTGGCCCATATTTGGCCTAGTACGTTAAAACAAGCTGAAAATCTTCTCTTCCTCTGCATTCATGGCAGAACAAGAAGAAGAAGATTCTAAAGTTAGCTCTCCCCAGCCTCCTCACCCTGTAATCTCTCTTTCTCTCTCTTTCTGATATGGTCTTACTGTGTTTGTTAAATTGGCAAGTCATTATTCGCTTTACTCAGTGTTATGTTTTTTTGCCTGTTATTATGCAAGACATGGTATGGAGCCAATTCACTTTTAAGCACAAAAAAAAAAACCTCTATGAAATTGAAACACACCCGTCTATGTAAATTTTAAATTTAAATTCTTGATTGCATTTGATTTAACTAATTCTATGTGGGATTTGTTGAATCTTGAAATTTTTTTTTGAAGTCAATGAATGATCACGTATTTGGAGCTTATTGACATCTGATGGGAGATCAAATTATAGTGGGGTTATTTATTTATTGTAGTGTTTCTTATTTGTCTCAATTAAACTCATTTTATAATATTGACAATTTGCTGCATGCGATAGGTTTTGGAGGTCATATGCGAAAGTCTGGCAAAGACTAGCCGCTTTGCGGCAGGCACCAAGGCGGGATTTGCTGTGTCTTTGATAAACAGGAAGTTGGATATTGGGGCACCTTTTGTTTTGCATATTGAAGCAGTTAAGGATGGGGAGGAACCCATTAGTTTTGGCCCGGATGCTGTGCTTGTTGATTATGGCAATGGATGGAAGTTGCAAACAGTTACTGTGTTAGATTATGGTGGTAATTAGCTTCTTTTAGTGTTTGATTATGTTGCTGTATTCTCTTGTGGTTGCTGCATAGATTTGCTTAATTGTTGGCTTTCCTAACTTGATTTCTTTTCTGAAGTAGGTGTTAGACAAACAGAGCATTTTCGGCAGATTCCAACACAGGTATGTAGTGGATTGGTATGGATTTCTTTATTGTCTTCTTCAAGTTTTTTTTTTTTAATTGTATCCATGAGTTAGAATTTAATGTATGTATGCATATATTGTTGGATAAAAGAACCTGGAAATATTTACAACATCGCTACATAGGATACTGGGATAGTTTTGTTGAATACATAATCCATTGCAGAAACGAAAAAACCCCATCTCAATAAGTGCTATTGAGCTGTTTTGTTTGAATCTATATTAAAAGCAATACCATGAAGTCTATGAACTTGATTTCTTGAATGCCTGAATCTGTGGCAAATGAGATATAGAAGATAGTAATAGGAACCTACCTGTATTTTTGGGTAAAAGCAAATATAGGAACCTGATTTTAGTTTTGCTTTCAAATATGTTTATCAGAGACTAAGTCAAGTGAATAATTGCATTTCAGATTTCAATGTATTTATATATGATTATTTTCACTTTTAACAACTCAATTAAAAATAGGATTGTGGTCTGGCAGTGTGCTCCCAGCACTGAACCGCTACTTGTCTCAAGATTCAAGACTAATCTTATGTCTGTCAGAAGAATTTGATTGGAATCAAATTGGAAATAGGATTGCCTTCTGAAAGGACTTCACTTTCTCCTTTTAATCTATGCATAGCTTAGTGTTGGTAGATGGCCAAGTGCTGGTTGCATTCATTTGAAGTTTGTGATATTGCTTGGTTAAAGAATGTGACAAAAGACCATATCTCTCTACCTCGATGAGATTTTTTTATTTTTGAATAACTATGATTTGATCTTTAGTCATAGTTGCTGCCTTAATATATCAAGACATACCAACATATAGAGAAACTGGTAGGTTTCAATCCACTAGTTCATTCTGTTCTGCGTACCATATGGGCACCATTTTTTTTATCTGTCTTGGCCACACCACCCTACTTCAGTCATTGTGGCTGACCTTAGATCAGATTCATTAAGAAAAACACAGGCAAGATTCATATGCAACAGTGTGAGAAATCATGTAATGTGGTGCTAAAAGCACAAATTATCAATTGCCAGGAAGACTTCCTGTGACCGATTATTCAGCGTGACGTCCCTTTTCTGTTATTTGCTTGTCTTGTACAGCTGTATGCTATTTGTGTACCAGTGTATTTGTTCTAAGAATCTTTTTGTTAATTCTCATATAATTATTTGGCTTTGTTGGTAAATACATATTCTTGGCATATATTAGCATATGTATCATATCAGAAATCTATATGAAACGAACTGGTACCAATACATCTATTCCAATAAAAAGCTGATGCTTTTTTTTTTCCCTACTAATATGGTATTCACAAACTTGCTTTAAATCTGAAAGTTATCCATTAGAGGAAGACTAAACTCTGATCTTGATGAATATGAGGTTGAAGGCCTAGAGCCCTAGACTGGTTGTTATTTATTTATTACCGAGTCTAATGCTGTTTACATCGGTTTAGTACCATGATTTTTCCTCTATGAGAGAAACTTTGACTTATGAATTATTCTCCTCGTGTGAATATTTACTGAGATTTGAATATTGTGTGCTTAGCTAAAATGATCTAATACTTTTAATTTCAGCAGAATTCTGATGGTTCACGTCCTGCAAAGACAGCTTCCAAACCAGGCATTGGTTTTGTGTACATTGCAAAGATAGTAGTAGCCTTCATTTTGCTTTTTGTGCTTGGTGCAATTTTCACACTAGCTCTTGAGAATCTTCCTAGACTCATATTGTTTATTAACTCGTTCATGTAATTACTTGTTTGCATTCTTCTAGTGATGTATGGAATGGATGATGCTGAGTTTATATTTCTTTCTGAATAATTTGAATTGAGGCCCTTAAGAGTTCTCACACACAAGAAGAGAAGAGCTACTGCAGAAGAAGGCTTCTGAGAAAAATAGAACAGGATGATCAAAATCACTCAGAAGACCAGCTAATCAAGCTTGCACTGACAATGGGGTGGGGAGGACGAATTCTGATTCCCAGTATATATATACATACTGGGAAAGTTTTCTCTATTATTATATCCCAAGATTCTTTTTTGTCTTCTTGGTTGAACTATTGATTTACTATTTGATTCATTACATCTTCAACGTCCGGAATGTTTGCAAATACTGATGAATTAACCATAAATGGAGGGGTTTCTAGTAGAGAATCCAGCACAGGAAGCTGTTATCGATCATTAACAAAAACAACGACGTAATGTGTGATTATTAGGGCTACATTGGAAAATACATTTCTGAACTTGAGCGAAAAAGCAAATACCTCTTCTGTTAGGGTTTAATTGAGAAATTGATGAAAAAACCCATAAAAATCTTTTCAATTCCTATAATCTTTTCTACTAATTGGAAAAAACATGTTTGCTAATAAAGAAAAAAGATGAACTGAGAGGATTTTTAAGGGTTTTTATGTCAATTTCTCAATGAAATCCTTAGAGAAATGACATTGAAAATTTTATATTGTTTAGAGGGTAAAATCGGGAATTTCTTTTAGTTTAGCGGTATTTGTTTTTCGTTCAAGTTCGGGGGATTAATTTACAATTTTGCCAAAAGATTACGATGTTTTTACATGGACAATCTTCTTAGAAGCTGGAAACTGAAACTGGTCAAAGCAGCCACCATCTTTTTTCTTGAATACAATTACATCACTGAAGAGATCAGCATGTTCATGTGCCCCCGGCGACCAATCAACCGTCTTGGACTGCAAGTTATAGACCCCATATATAAATAACCATAGAAATTTAGGTGAGAGAGGGTATACAGAAAGCGATAACTTGTGTAAAACATGGCAAGTTCAAGGTCTGGTTATTATTTCTTGGTTCTTTGCTGTGCAAGCCTTCTCATCCCAACAAGCTGCAACAGTAAGCATATTCCCTTGTTTATATTTGGTGATTCATTTTTCGATGCTGGAAACAATAACTACATACGCAATGCATCTGAGCGGGCAAACTTCTGGCCTTATGGGGAAACCTTCTTCAAGTATCCCACTGGGAGATTTTCAGATGGTCGACTAATTCCAGATTTTATTGGTAAGATGAGATACTGCGTTATTGTTTTTACTTGTTCTGTTTCACGGCTTTAATTTGTTTGGAAATAATCAGTTGATACTTGCTACTGTGTGGCAGCTGAGTATGCAAAGTTGCCGCTCATTCCTCCATATCTGCAACCTGGCAATCACCAATGGACAGATGGGTTGAACTTTGCATCTGGAGCAGCTGGTGCTCTAGCTCAAACCAGACCTGCTGGATCGGTGTGCGCTCTTACTCCGTAGGCTTCATACTGATTAATTAATTAATCTAAACTCTGTAGGTTTTTCCCTTTCTGTCACAGGTGATAGACCTCAATACGCAAGCAATTTATTTCAAGAATGTGGAGAGGCAACTGAGTCAGAAACTGGGGGATACAGAAACTAAGAAATTGTTGTCTAAAGCTATCTACATGTTCAGCGTTGGCAGCAACGACTACGTAGTACCTTTCATTACAAACTCCACTGTTCTTCAACTCTACTCCGAAAAAGAGTATGTCGAGATGGTCATCGGCAATATAACAACTGTGATCAAAGTAATCAATACATGGACATTCTTTTCCTTTCTTGCTAACTTTCTTTTTCTTCCATAGCTTATGGCTGGTTACATTCCGATGTGTTTCAGGAAATATATAAGAATGGAGGAAGGAAATTTGTGTTTCTCAGCATGGGTCCTTTGGGCTGTGTGCCACTTCTGCGTGCATTAAAACACAATAGCACAGGTGGTTGCATGGATGAACTCACGGTGTTAACAAAACTCCACAACAGCGCACTCATTGAAGTCCTCAAGGAGCTCCAGACACAGCTTCAAGGGTTTAAATACTCTTATTTTGATTTCTACGCTTCGTTAAGTGAAAGAATTAATCACCCTTCAAAATATGGTTTGTTTTCCTAACCTATCGATTAACCAGTTACACAGTTTCTCTGTAAAAACTAGTTGCATATATTTTGATTTACACTTTTTCGGGTTTGCTTTGACAAGGTTTTAAGAAGGGGAGAGTGGCATGTTGTGGCAGTGGTCCATACAGAGGAATCTTGACTTGCGGTGGGAGGGGAGCAGCAGAGTACGAACTATGTGATAATCCCAATGACTACTTGTTCTTTGATGGTGGTCATCTCACCGACAAAGCCAACAATCAACTTGCAAAGTTGATGTGGAGTGGCAATTCTAATGTAATATGGCCTTACAATCTTAGAACATTGATCGAAGAGTAGCTCAAAATTCGTGCAACCATATGTATGTTAGTTTCTGTAGGACTTCATAACCATATAGCGAATAATCAGATAATGTACTCAATAAGACTCTTAAAGGATTGAATTTGGGTTGGATTATCATAAATCCAGATTTAATTCGTTTAATGAAACATATCATATCGAATCTTATAAATTTAGATCAAATATCTAGATTCTAACAAATGCCGATTAATTAGATTCAAAATTTCATCGGATTTATCACTTGATATATATAAAAAAGTTATACTTACTATATTTAATATATTACTTAAATATAAAATATATTTCAACCAATAATAAAATATGTTAAAGTACTATTTCATCTGTCAATTTTGTAAAAAATTCAAATGCCACACACTTCAAAAGCACCAAATAAAAATTTGCTTTGAATTAAGTAAAAAATGCGATAAAACAAAAAAAAAATCAATAATAAAAAAATTTTATTTCTTGTCCATGCGCTAGTAAAATAAAAATTTATTAATTCAAATTCTAATATGATAGTGCTACAAATTAAGGATTACAAAGAAAGAAAGAAAAGAAAATCTATTAACATTATCATATATTTTTAAGAAGTTAATTTACAAAAATTTATGAGTACATGTTATTTTACTAATATTAGTAATATCGCATAGTTAAATAAGTATTAATTGCAATTTCTTAATTTTTCTTTGAATCCAATTTTTGCCGATTCCTTAACAATACAAGTTTTTTAGTATCTCAAATTCTACCCTCCAACTATTTATTTCTATGCCTTCTTTCATTAAGTGAAATGACAAAATAATAATAATAATAATAATATAATTTAGATATTTAAGTGCTATTAAAGAATTCATTCAAAATATGTTATTGTCTACTTCTACTATCTCAATTAGTTTGAGCTATATTTTTATGTCTAACATTAACAGAAAAAAAAAAAAAAAAAAACTATATCAAAACGTTAGTTTATTATTCATTAGCACTTGTTTTAAACACTATTCATCTAAACTCATATGCTCTTTTCATACGGGCTCATATGTACTATTCATTTTACCATGCGAGTGGCTTTTTTTATGGTTTTTAATTCTTTTTAAGACATTTATTATGAAAGTTTTTGTGATATTACATTTGGATCATTTTTTAAAAAAAATTATTTTTTCGATCCATAAATTTTTTATTTTATTTTGGTTTCACTTTTTTTTTTTCATTTTAATCACTTTGGTCCTTGCTTTTTCCTTTGATTTTTTAATTAAAAATTTTAAGACCAAAATATGTTTAGAAAAAACAACTTACAAAATAAGTTTTTAGCTAAAAATATAAATAGAGATAAAAAAATAATATTTTTTTAATAAAAAATGTATGAAAATATAAAGAATAATTAATCAAATACAAAATTTTTATTAAAAAATTATAAAATTGAATAAATTTTTATTCAGTTTTGATTTAATATATTTTAGCGGACGAACGGAAAATCAAACTGAAATAATTTTTTAAAAATAATTTTATGTGTTACTGTCTAACCCGCAATATAGCATGGGTAAAAAAACTTGTTAAAATGCTAAAATAAGATCTAATTTGTAAAAAAATAAGTTCCACATGCTATGATTCTTACCATCAAATTAAAATAAATGGCACAATCGCTTTTCAATATATTTATTGCTCAACTCCATAACAACTACACACACACAAAACAAAAGCAAATAATAATTTTAATAATTAGTTAATACATAAAAAGTAAAAACATAATGATTTTAAGTAAATGAAATACCATAGATTTTTTTAATTTTTTTTTAATTTGGAAGCCAATCACTTGTATTAGTTATTGCCTCCACAATCTTTTGAAGTAAACGTCCACCATAATTATCAATAATTCTTCCTATCCTATTAACTTCAAAAGCAAAAATAGTTATTGGAACAGTTAGAACATCATAAGTGAGTTTTGTAAGGATGAAGAATGTATCACAATTGGTTTTTCATTGTTGCAAAGTATTAAACTTATATGTGATTTTTAAAAAAAATGTCATCAATACTATGAAAGAATATGCGTTATTTGAACTTTAGAATAAATAAACTCTAAATTTTAATCTAGTCCATATTTATATTTTTTTATTTAAATTTTTAATGTTCTTAAAATATTATATTTGTTAAAAAGATATTATTTTTAATTTCGAATCAGATTATTATGAAATCAGATCAAGATAAATCTGAATTTATTTATTTTTAATAAATAAGTTAACAGATTTAGATAATCAGATTCGAATTAAAAAAAAAAAAAATTATCATATTGGTGGAGCGAGACACATTTGTTTGGACCATTTCGCTATGTTACGAGGCAATGATAGGGAGAATTGCACAGGAACTGTTATTAAACAAGAGACTATTAACTTAAGCTTATCAAAGAAAAAACTCGACATAAATGGGATAGTTTGCATCAAGGCAAGTGCAAAGGAAAACCAAGTCATATATATATATATACACATAGAGAGAGAGAGAGAGAGAGAGAGGATATTATTGAATCAGAATATTTACATTGTTTTGAGCAAATCCACAAACTACCCACCTATATATACTACACAAGACGAATTTCAGCCATCACTAATAAGAATACAAACAACATAAGAGCAAGGGGGGATAATAATATTATAAATGATTTTAATCATACAACAGAGAGATTCTGTTGTAAGAACCGCATGGGATTGCATCCTGGATGCTGTAAACTGGAAATGCATTCTATGCTAAACTTTCTCCAGAGCTGCGATAAATTTCATCAGCATGAGTTGCAGGCACATACACAGCATCCAGTAGCGAGCTGTGAGTCCGCCCATAGAACGTATAAACAAGCACTCCAAGTATAAGCCATACAGAAACACGGGTCCACGTGGCGGCACTGAAAGGTCCAATCCCAAGTAACCCAGCACATACACAAAGTAATGTTCAATAGTTAAGCAAAAAAACTAATTATCCGAAGGTAGTCACAGAGTAACTGCAGCTTTATTGATATTCACTCACCCAAGATTAATCAACAGGTAGATGTTGACGAGAATGCAGACAATAGGAAGTAGTGGAACAAATGGGCAAATAAAACCTGAAAAAAGATTTAATCTATTTAGTTCACCAAATTTTAACTAAATGAGTTTTAACCATGCAGTAACAACATGACCAACTATATTGTACATATGCTTGTGTGTGTGTTTACGGCGTAAATGAATGCCTGGTAACAAGAAACCCACTGAATCAGGCAGTGATTAGAATTTATAGCCCCTTTAAATGTAGTATGAGATAGGACTTCAATGGAAGATGAATAAGCACAGATAGCACACAGCCTCGCATTTGCTTCTATAAGCCAATGGAAACCTAAGCAGAGTCCCATCTAGCAACTATCGCAGGATTCACACATACTAGTAGCTTAAATGCTGGATTTACTTGAATGTCCGCATGTTATGAGCAAGTATGGTGACTACTAGACTGTCGAAAAGGCCCTTTCCTCCAGAGTGAGTTTTTAGTGAGTAGTTAACCTACATGAGAACTCATTTACTTGGCAACACAACATGAAAAATTAATTCCTAACTGTGGTAGGACCTTACTGGAGAGTTGAGCATTTCTTATTCTGTAACAAATAAAGCCAGTGGTCACACATCTGAGTTATCCTATATATAGCATGCTCAATGCAAGCACTTGGCATATTCTGACATTTCCATCGAAATATATGATGGTTGTAACTAGACTGACATTATGAAAATAAGAAACTGCACAGGGTGTAAGGGCAAATAGCCACATACCTCCTGAATGCCCAAAGCTGTGCCTCGCGTCATCTTGTTCTATACAGGTCAGCACAATCAAACCACAAAGGAGAAGTGCACCACCAATTCCACACAGTGTAAAACGAAGAAAACTGATGGAAGAATCATCCAAACAGATAAATTTGAAACAAGAACAGAAACTGTTCATATCTTGTCCAAAAGCATTGGAAAATGTATGTATGTAACTGGAAATTACTGTTACGATCACTACTGACTCACCTTGGAAGACTCAACTCTGAAGCTACATAAGTAAGGAGAAAAGCCCCAACACACGTGGCTGTTATGATCCAGCCAGCAATTTTTCGCCTGTTCCCTTCATTCAGGACAACTGAAACAATTTAAAAATAAAGAAGAATCAGTGTTAGAAACCATCTGATGAAAGTCGAAATTAGCACAACAATTCTGCTGAGGTGTTACACTAGGTTAGTACTAGGAGTCAGGTCTAACATCTTTAGATTAAAATCTATACATGAATTTCATCTGTAAGCATTTCAAAGCACTGTAATTTAAGCAATATATCTTTTACATACGCCAATCAGGAATTTTGAAACACATGCCACATAAATGGGTGGGTGATTGGAGATTCTGTGTTTAGATCATTTACAGATCCTAACAAGTAATATCCATATGCATGCCAAGAAAAGTAAAAAGTGATAGCTGCAAAGAACTTACAATTGCCTTGAGCTTCTTCTTTTACAATTATAGGATATTCAACTGCTGTTGCTTTGCCTAATAACGGCAAATTGCTATCCGTAGAGGTACCGGCATAAACTGCAGCCTTTTCCTCAGTGACATCTTGGCTACTCATGTTGTATCTTAATGACACAGAATCGATAGTCTCCTGAAGTGAAGATGGAAAAGGCACCTCATCTGGCGGAACATATCTCAGTATCAATACGGAAATTGCTACCATAGTGAATGCAAGAAGCGTGCCCACACTAACCTGCACAAAATGACATTATTCAGAACCTGTTTTGACGTTACATTATGAAAAACTTGTATGCTTGAAAGTGTTGAGGTTTCCCATGGCCATTGTTCATGTACCCTTATCTTACTCATTACCACTCTCATGCCACAATCCATAGTTTAGGTACTAATAATTTGAACGTGAAAAACGTGGTCAGATTACACCTACAAGAAATATGACACCCATCTAGAAATCAGTAACAAAGATTGCAAATTCCTCTCTTTCTTTGGGTTTTACCTTTTTCATAATAGTAGATTTCAAGGGAAAAACTTCTGTTTAACATCCATAGAAAGAAAACCTATTTGTTCATTTACCAAAGTAAAGAACTCTTAGCTGTAACAACCCAAATTCATATATGAAGATGGGAGCAGGAAATCTCCTATTTCCTTCTGATGGGCGCAGGAAACTATCATCCCTGGCAGGCAGGAAATAGAAAAGGGAGAGGCTACTCAGCCATTTCCCACCCCATCACCTTTCCTACATAAATTTTAAGTAAATGGGTCCAAGGCTAGTCAACTACAAAAATACTTTATTGCAAATTGACTGTCAAATTTCACTTACCATCCCAGCTAGTTGTGAAACATCCATAAAAAATGCCAATACTGCAGCACCAAAGCCAGTCACCAATGTGCCCTTAACAGGAACTTGGGTCCTTTTATTAACATCTGAAAAGAATGATGGCAACAACCCATCTCTAGCCATTGCCATCAAAATTCGAGGCTGAAAAAAAATGCAAAATCTATGTGTGAATCAATTGTTTAGAGATAGATACAAGATAAATACAATTCACCAAGGGGGGAAAAACAGCCTGACAAACAAACAGGACAATACAATTAACAGTTGGTGGATCTTCTAAAGTAGGAGACAAAAGAAACAGATTAAGCATTCCTTCCCACTAAGGTAGACACACAAGATAACAAGAAGCTAGAGAAAATTTAAGCTGATTTATCTGCTCTTCTAAATAACACATTCTAGCATTAACCAACTATATAGCAGTTGCCCTCAAATTTGTTATGCATATGGTTCCCTATTCAAGAACCCCTTTATGAGCCTATTGAGACAAACTTCTTATATTGACAATGGTGCTTATGAGATTGACACCAACGACTTGTTGCAGATTAGGCATCACGAGGCTTTAATCCTGATATTTGTGTTATGTGCCATCATAACAGAGAATCTCAAAGTCAATCTCTTTCTGCATTGCCCTTCAGTTGATACATGCATCAAAGATTGTTTGCATTTGTTAGTGTTGGGCAATTATGAAGATGGTAGAACAACTGTTGCTAGTTTCTTTTGTGGTCTTGGGTGGGAGAAGGATTGTAAGAACTATGGAGATATGCTTTTAGTGCAGTTTTTAGTGCATTTGGAAGGAGCCCAAGGCAGGATTTTCAATCATCACTTCACATCGAGGCAGTTAATGTGGGATGGGATACTCTTCCTGGCTTCTTTGTGGTGACACATGGCAGGAGCTTTTAGGGGCATTTCCTGAGCTGATATTCAGAGGGATTGAAGTGCTTTATTATTTTTATCTAGATTGCTGTGTCTGTTTCACTTTCCCAGTGGATGACTTACTCTCAATGTTGTAGTGTATAATTCCCTCTTGCTAATAATACTTCTTTTTTTTTTTTTAATCACAAAAAGAAAGAGAATCATGATACAAGGAAAAGACAGTGTTGAGCCTACCGATAAAGTACTGTAATGTCAGAAGACAAGCATATATTGATTCATTTGAGTACACAACACAAGTTTTGAAGGATCAACCATATTTCTGTATATAAATGAAATCAAAATACACAAGTTTTATACTTGAACTAAAAGTCGTAGTGTATGCGAGCAGTCATGAGGTGTATGGCTGGTAGAGAATAATCAAGAGTAATATTCATCATATAACAAATAGCATCCAGGTCTACCAAGTCAGAAAAATATGGTATGCTAGCACATTGAAGATTCTGTTTAATTACCTGAGGAAGGATTGAGCCCATCAATGTTGAGCAGAGAGCCATAACTGCTCCGGCAGTTATTAAGTACCTGCAACACACAAGTAGCAAAAGGACTTGTAAACCAAAATGGTTTGATTACTCCCTATATAATTTAGGCAAAAAAATTAATGCACCATGCATTTGATCAAAACAAACAAACTTACGCTGCCCAATGCATCCCATGAGCAGCAAATGCTGAGGAAATAGGGGTATCGGGATCCATAGCATAATAAGGTACCAGACCAACAATGACAACAGAGACCAGCATATACAAAGAACAACAAATAGACAATGCAAGCCCAATGCCTAGAGGTAAATCTCGTTGAGGATTTTTCACCTGTTGGAAATTATGCAAACAAAAAATAAGATTCCCACAAGTCACTGTTTCCTAGGAAAATGAAGACTGCAAGCGTTAAAAAAATACTGCAGAAAAAAATAGGGAAGGATTGAAAAAGAAAAAAAAAATGGAGGCACACACCTCCTCGGCGGTGCTGGCAACTGAATCAAAGCCAATGTATGCAAAAAAGACAGTTGCAGACCCTGCAAGCATCCCATCCACCCCAAAGGGAAAGTACCTATGAGTTCCAAAATATCATATTAGTCATAAACTTTTTACAGAAGATGTTTCAAAATTGAATTTACAATATGGGAAGCCTATTACCCAGTAGGAAGTTCATATCCAGCCCATCCAGTCTTGAAGCCGAGATAACTACCAGCTATTATGATGAAAAGCATGGCACACACATTTATGGAGGTTACTATGCCTTGTGCCAAAGTACTCTGCACAATGATGTTACTAGTGGAGATTAATATAATAACAAGAAAAAGAAACAACTTTACCTGTGTATAATTGCTTGATAAAAGAGAAAAAGAGAACATGACAAAGATTTATGGTAGGTACCTCCTTTATTCCCACACACAAGAGCCCAGTGACAACCAATACCAAAATAGCAGCACAAGGGTCAACCACAACATCAAGCATGGGTATATGTAGACGAGCCAGAAAAAATGGTAGACTATCCTGACCTCCAAAGAACAACGCCTACAAGCATAAACAAGACAAGTAAGAAAAATAAACAATGATTCAAAAATAGATGAAGGGGGAAAAAAAGAAAGAAAGGAAAGCACACAGACTATCCCGATCTGGAGAACATCCTCTCCAAAAAAAAAAAAACAAGGCCTAGATAGATCGGAGCAAAAGAAATATAAAAAGACTTTTTCATCAAGGAAAATATACCGAGTATGGACCAACAACTTGTCAACTAATCAAATTAGAGAGTATCAGGAATTCCTTTCCTATTTTTTTCTTTTTTTTTTTTTGGTTCAAACCAAGGATCTAGTCTAAAGCAAATCGCCAACTTACCACTTCGGCTAATAGCAAGGTGCATTTTAGACATTTATTTTGTAGTGGTAAAAATGGAATCGTTAATGTATTCGCAATTCTTGCAAAGGAAACAAGGACGTCCTAAATAATTCTTCAAGTCTCAAATGTAAATGGCAACTCTCAAAGAGCTCAAGCATTTAGTAAAATAGTCCATTACATTGAAGCAAGACTCCAATGAAAGGACTGCCATACTGTCACTTTAGCTTGACCATCTGAGAAGAACTCGTAGCATGTTCCTTTCATACATCATACAAGAAATGAAAGAATTGGCAATGTTACTAATTTTATGTTCTTCCAAAATTCTAAATCAACAACAGGGATGCAATTAGCCACTCGGCATCGAGATGGCAATGTGTGAAAATAGGAAAATGTGAACCTTTTCCATCTACAAAGAGAACAGTGTAAACTAATTATACTCAAAACAATAAGATTGAAATAATTAAAACCCATAGAATTAAAAGAACAAAAATCATGGTAAATTGAAGATTAGGTGACAGAAAGTCACTGAACTAGGTTTGGGGATATGCCGCGAGCAACTGCTGCACCACCGATTGTGTATTCCAATATTAAAGCCCAGCCAATCAACCAAGCAACACTGCAAATTGAAAATGCAGAAATCACTAAGCAAAGGTCATTGCAGGTTCCATCAAAAACAATATTCAGTCCAAAAATAAAACCTAAATACAAACAAAGAACCACCCGAACACAATGCCTGAGGGATACTATTATATAAAACAAGAAATGACCAACCAAATCTCCCAACAACATGTTGCAAGGGTAATTGAAAAAATAAGCAAAGCATCAACTTATTTATCCCCTTCGAATAAGGAGAAAACAGGATATAATCCCAGAAACAAGTCTTTGAGAGACTGCCACGGAAGTAAATAAGCTCTCACACAAGAAACGACAAATACTTACCCTTCTCCAACACATATGTAGGAATAATGATAGGCACTGCCGGCAGATGGACAACGACTTGCAAGTTCTGCATAGCAAAAGGCTGAAAGAGCAGCAGCAATTCCAGCTATCAGAAAGGATATAAATAGAGCTGGTCCAGAATGCTCCCTAGCAACTGTTCCAACAAGAATATAAACTCCAGCTCCAATAGTTGAGCCGACACCTGATCAGAGTTCAACAGTCAGCAATTCATAGATAGAAGGCAAGCTACACATGAACCACCATTCGAAACTTAGAAAACTAACACAATAAATACTGAAAGTTACAAGAAGGATCAAAGTTTTTGAACTTTTTGGATTAGCATCAAGATGATCCTAGGCAGGATTACAAATTTTGGCTTATGTTTTAATAAAAGTTAGTTTTTAATCACAAAAGTAATAAAAAAAAAATTATTTGGTTAAAACAACAAGGAACTGAGATATTTAAAAATAAAAACAAAAAACAAAAGAAAAACAGGCAAGAAAGCTTAAACTCCTGACCAAAGCAACAAGTCAAAACCAAAAACCATGTAACACAATCAGCATCAACTTATCAAGCAAAGTAGAAAACGAAAATGAAGGAGCATCAACTTATCAAGCAAAGTAGAAAACAAAAATGAAGGAAGAAGCACAAGACAACCAAAACCCATGATCCAAAAAGACCCAAAAAACAAAACCAAAGATAAAATTCTTGCGTCAAAGAGAAGAATTATTAACACTAAAGGGGAAAAAAAAAAGAACATACCAATAGCAATAAGGTGAAGAACAGACAACTCCTTGGCTAATTGACGATGACCATGTGCTTTAAAATGAACAGAATCAACCTGTTTTCTCCTTATCAAACTCCTAAAACAACCACCACCCCTTACACCTACACCACCTTTTTGTGAATCAACAAGAAAACCCATTAAATTTCTCAGCTTTTCCTTACAGCAACAATAACCTCTATGAATAATAATTTACAAACTTGGTATGTTTCTAAATTCTAACTTACAAATGAATCAAAAAGAACTTCTAAAGTTGTAAAATTTATTATGTACAAATCTAAAATCTAAGCAAGCCCTGCCCGCATTCCATCCCTCCCTATATGTGTTTATAATTAAGTTTTATGGGATCTCTTCCCTTTCTTTGGTTTCAAAGAAGGGAAGCGGGCAGATTGAAAAGAACCAAAGACAAAGATTTGTATTACAGAAATGTTTGAAAAGAAGAAAGAGAGAAGCTCTCTTGAGTTGTCTTTTGTTCCCTTTAATTATAATTACAAAGAAAGACAAGGTCTTGTTTGCCCGTTGCCCGATCTGCCCGTGAATTGAATTGCGGTGTGGCTAACGTATATCGGGAATGGTTTGGGAATGTCCCCAATTCTATGATTCAATGCAGAGAAACGAGGGGAATCAAATTCGGTGTATGTTCTTTTGGGTCCCACTATTTCTGCTATCCTTTTCTTTTTTATACCAGTAAAAAAAAAGTTAATGGCTAAATATGTAATTATATAACAGATTGAGACAAATTTATCTCCAATAAAAGTTAAGTTTGTAATTTATGTTTGTAACTAGATTTTCAAATTAAGCCACTAGAATTAATTACATAATATATATATATATATATATTTTACTTATAAAGATATTTTGAAAATAAAACATAGTTATATAAAAAATTACGTGACTCATTTCAATAATTTAACCAAAAATATTATCAAAATAGTAGATTAAAAAATTAACATAATTAACTCAATTATGAATATAAAAATAAATTAAAAAATTATTTTACTATATAAATATGAGTTGAGTTATTAATAAAAATAAAAATATTTGATTCCATATAATATTACATATCTTTTACGAACGATATTCACATTTCATAAAATAACAAAAATAGTTTTTTTAATTACAAAAATATCTTTAAATTAACTTGAAATTTAAGCTATCTATCCATGCTTACATAGTTACATTCTCTGTATAGATTTAACTTCTCTTGAGTTAGTAGTAATATGATATATTATGTTAATGGAATGTACATTTTAATTTTGAGATCAATAATTTGCATTTTTCATAAAGAAAAATACATGTCTTTTTTAGATTGAAAATAAATATTAATTATAAAAAATTATAGTCATCTATTGATTTACAAGAATGTTATCTTAAACATTAAAATTCAAGCCACTGGTGTCATGCTATATTTTCAACACTTTTGCAAAAAAATATTTTTGAGTAGAATGGCCAAACACACCATGTACCTCCTTACAAACTATAACATCATAAGTAAATTACAAATTAGTCCTTATAGTTTTTCAAAAGAAATTAAACAGTTTCTCTATGTTTAATAACTAATTAATGGTGTTTACACTTTTAAATCTAGTTATAACTAATTAATAGTGTTTCTTAAAATAATTTAAATATGAGATTTAATCATGATGTATCACACCAATAATATTTTGAATCATTGAGCAAAGAAAAAATTTTAGTACATAAAAAAATCTTTATTATAAAATAAATAGAAATAATAAGAGAATTGAATGAAAGGATGACAAGAAAATGAGATAACTATAATGTGGATACAAGTAATAAGAATTTCAAAGTTTCTCTTATTCTCTCTAGAAAACTTGTACATCAACAAATGAACAATCAAGCTTATTTATAGGCCTTGAAATTGAGATGAGAATTGAAAGGGACTATGAATAATTAAAAGTACATCAATTACATCATCCTTTCAATTTCTCATATTGAATTATGAATTGAATCACATTAAGGATTATGAGTAGTGAAGATATAAAAACCGGATGGACATTCATATGGTCATTTATTATTTTATAACACTCCCATTGAATGTCTATTGTACAAGGAACATGCCTCGTTAAAACCTTACTAGACAAAAACTCGAGTGGGAAAAAAATCATAGTGAAGGAAAAAAAGTACAATATTCATTATACATATTAATCCCATTTTTGTCTCCTCCCGGTGAAGGCATTATTTAAGATCTCTAAGACGACGCATTTTAATCTTGTGAATCTTCTTAAAAGTTGTGGTAGGTAATGCTTTAGCGAATAAATCTACTTGGATTGTCACTTTGATGTATTATTCCTTCAATGAAATTATACAAGCAACATTATCCTCATATGATATTGTTGGAACTTCTTTTCTTGGTAGATAAACTACATATCTCTCGGATACGATGGATCGTTGATCTTAGCCAAACACATTCTCGACTTGCATCGTCAATTGATATTTACGCATGATTTGAAGATATGGTAACTGCAATTTGCTTCATAGAACGTCAAAATATAGTTGTATCTCCATATGTAAATATATAACCGAGTTGTGATCGAGCTTTAGGTAGATTAGATAAATAATATGCATCCGCATAACCAATTAATCTTATTTTTGATTTATTGGAGTAATATAAGTCCATATCAATTATTTCTTAAAGATAACGTAGTATATATTTAACTTTATTTCGATATCTCTATATTGAAACGGAACTATGACTTGCTTAATAAATTTATAGAAAAGACTATATCGAGTCGAGTATTATTACCAAGATACATCAATGCACCGATGGCATTAAAATATGGTACTTCGGGACCAAGTAGTTATTCGTTATCTTCTCGAGGTTGAAAAGGGTCTTTTTGGATATCAAGTGAATGAACTACCATTGGGCTAGTCGGTGAATGATCTTTATATAGAATCATTGTAGAACCCTTTTTCTATATAAATTGAGTGATGAATGAAAATCTCATTTTTTGAGTGCTCGAGCTGCAGGTCGAGATAACATTTTGTTTTCCCAAGATATTCATATTAAATTCTCTTTTTAGGTAACTTATGACACTTGGAATCTCTTCGGGAGTTCCAATAATATTTAAATTATCAACATATACAATAAACCCCTTTTCAAATAAAAACATATGAACAAATAAGGTTATTTTTTATAACTTTCTTTTCACAAATAATCATTAAAGTGATTATATCACATGAATACGGGTTAGTAATAAACAATAGATATCAAAATAAAATATAAAAAGTATAAATTGAATTTCTAAAAACCAAAATAATAACACAAATACTAAAATAATCATAATAGAGATCTCTATAATTTAATTGAATTCTTATCTCGAGAATATATATTACATGCTTCTTGCATCTTAAGTCCTTCTAGGTCTTTCGTACCGATTCATCTCAAATGAACAAATAAATTATGATCACATTCATTAAATGCATGCATATGAATGTTTTTCATATATTTTGTCAAGCTAATGAGATAATAAAATATAATTACATCCATTATAGGAGAATACGTCTTCTCGTAGTCAATGTCGATTCTTTGCAAAAACTCTTATGTTGAAAGTTTTGCTTTGTATCTTACAATCTCATTTTTCTTATTTCGTGTTCGCATTAATACTTATTTGTATCCCACCAGCGTAACATCTTCGGGTGTTTTATCTATGGGTTCAACAAACTACTCTTTTGTAAGAGTACATAATTCTGCTTGGATTGCTCTTTTCATTTAGGCCAATCATCTTTATATCAATATTCTTCAATAATTTAGACTTAGGATTCTTATTTTCATTCAAAATATCAATTGTAACTTTAGATACAAAAAATCTTATCAATAAATATTTCTTTTCGGTCCTATTTTCTCCCTGTATTGACATAATTTATCAAAATCTCTTGATTTTTCTCAAGCATTTGGACTTCTTCGAAAGCCTATTATCGAAATATATTGGACCGTTTTGTGAATATTTTCATCTTGCTCTTTTCTTTTAGGGATTTTTATCTTTAGAACCTATCGATCTTCCACGCTTCGAGCGTGCTTTAAATTCGTTAGCTATAATATTAATAGGTTGTCCTTCTAGGACATCAATTCTAATAGAAGCATTCTCAACGAGGGCATGTATTTTATTTACTATTTTAGGATATGAGAATACATCTAGCATTTGGTTTATAATACCTTGTAAATGAATTATCTTGTGAACTTATAATTCACATTTTTTTGTACCAAATTGATATAAAGATAGAGTACTCTATGTAATCTTTTTTTTTAACATTTCCAATTGCTCATTTTGTTTATTCTCTCCCACTAATGTTGAAAAAACTATTTCATCAAAATGACAATCGATAAATCAAGCTGTAAAAATATCACTTATTCATGATTCAAGATATTTAATTATAAAAAAAGATTCAAATCCAATATATACTCTCAATCTCCTTTAAGTGCCCATTTTATTTCCTTATGAAGGAGCACTAAGGATATACATTACAATGCCAAAAAAATCTTAAATAAGAAATATTTGACTCATGACCATAAATCAAGTGAAGAGGATAGAATTTCGATAACTTATGGGTCATATGCGAATAAGTGTTCTTGCATGTAAGATTGTATGTCCATAAACATAAACAAAGAGTTTATTTTTAAATAATGGTTTAGCTATCAATTGGAGCCTTTTTATAAATGATTTTGCTAAACCTTTTTAGTATGAACATGAGCAACGGGATGTTCAACCTTTATTTTAATAGCCAATCAATAATAATTTAATGCTTGAGAAATAAATTCATCAACATTATCAAGGTGACTTGTTTTAATGGCATAATTTAAAAATTATGCTCAAAATCAAATTATTTGCTAGTAATCTCGAAAACGTCAAGTTTCGAGTAGATAATAAGCATATATATGACCATCTTATGGATGCATTTATCAAAATCATAAAATATTTAAATGGTTCACATGGTGGATGAATTGATTCACATCTATCACCTTGAATACATTCTAAAATACTTGGAGATTCAATTTCAATTTTACTTGATGATGGCTTAATCATCAATTTGCCTTGGCAAGATACGAGTATATGAAAGTTTATTAAATTGAAGAATCTTCGGCTCTTCGATACATATTCATATAAATTTTTTAATAATTTTTT